AGTGCTGAAACTTTTTGAGCGCTACCCAGGACCGTGTTTGACCAACCACAGGCGAAGAAAGCATTCACGTTGCCACTCACGTACGAGCACGTGAAATTTGACGTAACTCTGCAACCAGAAAGCTGGAGTGCTGAAACTTTCTGAGCGTTGCTCAGGGTCGTGTTTGAGTAACCACAAGCGAATAAAGCATTCACTTTACCATTCACGTACGAACACGTGGGATTTGACGTAACTCTGCAACCAGAGCAGCTGGGACTTTGGAACTTTCTGAGCGCTACCCAGGGCCGTGTTTGACCAACCGCGAGCGAAGAAAGCACTCGCGTTGCCACTCACGCACGAACACGTGAAATTCGACGTAACTCCGCAACCAGAGTAGCTGGAGTGCTGATACTTTCTGAGCGCTACCCAGCACCATGTTTGAGCAACTGCGGGCGAAGAGAGCATTCACATAGCCACTCACGTACGAACACGTAAAATTTGACATAACTGTGCAACCGAAGCATCTAGAGCACTAGATCTTCTGGGCATGGATTGAGGTCTTTGCAATAATTTCTAACAGTTGTGTGGCCAGTCCCAACTCTTTTAGCTAGAAGCATCTGCCAGAAAGAACGTGCCGCTGGCGAAAAAAGCCTGCGGGGGGAACTGCGCAAAAAACGCATCCTCGTACCGGAGCCGGGTATCTTTCTACTAGGTGTTATAAAGGGAAGAAGATAAACGAACGTTAAGTTCATTATCACTTATCATCATCTGGCCAACACATATACCTGCACAGGTCCCGATCACCGCATTTAATGGTCCCGATTTGAAAGTTCGGGACAAGACAAATAACAAGTTATGTTTGTTTTTAAACTTAGCTCGAGCAGTCTCGAGAGCATTCCACGAGGCGATTTTTTATGGGAGTAATCTGGGGCAGTGAAATTCGCGCAAATTGATCAGTTATACGAAACGGTATGAAGAGATGAAGGCATGTTTGGAATGCGGTCTTGCATTTTTAACTATTTGCCTTTTAAAAATACCAAAAAAGGAACTTTTTTAAATAATGGTTGCAGTTCTGATGACGGATGATGGCGTCATCCATATCCCCGTGGGTTTGCACTTGGCTTACAGCTTACTGTATATCAAATTATTTTCAAGCACTTTTTCTGACATTTTTCTCTTCCAGTTTGGCGTGGGTGCTTAAACAGGCCTCAATGATGAGAAAAGGAAGGAGGAAGCTTCCACCTTGGTAATTGGAAATGCGATGTTCCCTGCAGTTCAGTTTAAAAAAATTGGCTGGTAATCGGCAAAAAACCTTGCAGACAGGAGCAGGGATTAGCTGTAGGAGCATATAAATGCATTTCAACTGCACCGCAGCCTCTATAAGAAAGCGTGGTTGATCTCGGAATTCAGTTTTTGATTTTCCCATGATTTTATTTTATTGAGGCGTAAACAATAAGTGTAAGCAATAGGTACTAATGAAACTGCAAAAAGGACGGTTAATACTGTTTTTTTTGTCCACTGGAAACCATTCTTCTAATGCTCTTTGCTACGGGAAAATTTCTTTTGTGTTAAAAAACGCTAACTTGCTGGTGTTTCGGAAGGTGCAGCTCCGTGTTCTTAAACGCATGGATTATTTTCTTTTTCATGCATAGAAAATGTATTCATTGATGGAATCGCAAAAAAAGTGTCTGTTTCGCTATTATTCAACGAAAAAGAGCGATTTGTCTTGCATTGTGTATTCATAGCTGGAGCGCGTTATTTATTGGGACCACAAAGGAAGGCTTTTCATGCATTTTTTTAAAGCAACAAATGCAGGCTGTCACTGCCCATGAGCTACTTGGAAAGATGGCCGCTTTCCCAGCTTGTTTTCCAAACACTTTTTTAAAAACGCGATTCGTATTCAGAATCGCCGAATGGGCTTTGAATGCGACGCCAGTGCTGCGTACGTGCACTGAGGTGAAGAGGTTTTGCTTGCCAAAGCATGTATTTAAAATGTTTTACTTCTTGGTACTAGGATGCATATTCGCTTTTTTGGTATCAGATGGCATTTAATTTGATGTCAGCCCTTACCTGCAGGTACCACTCGTTGAACAGGTTAAATAACGCACTCGCTCGCAGCGCACCAGTAGAAGGTTGTCGCATGAAAATTTAACCGCGTTGCTACTGTAGCAAGTGCCACTATTTATTTTTTCTTCTAAACTTCGAGAAGATGATTCCCGCTTCTAGCCGCACACGAAGTTCGGTCTGCGTTTACAGCCAAGGGATGAAACAAAAACCGTGTTGAGACCGGAGTTCTCAAGAAGTTGTATCTGGTCTGTAGAAAATTTTGTAATTTTCTTTTAAGGCCGGTTTACAACAGGTCAGTATTGTCGGAAGACCGCTCTTATGCAGGAGCTACATGTAGTGCTCAGTGGTGAGCGCACAACACTCAGTAGCCCATGATTTATTGTTACATTATTGTTTCTTTGTTCGCTATATTTCTAAAAAGCGATGAAGTTCTTCATCCCATCGCTTTCAGTCTTGCAGTAGGTCTTGTACCGAAGCGGGACTACCAGATGTGGCATCCGCGCAGTGTACGATGTTAATTTTTAATGATTTGTTTTCCACTTAATTGCTTTTGCTTTAGCTTTGCTTTGAATATCGGCTGTTTTGCTTTAAAGTGTTTGTGGGTGTGCTCTACAGACTCAATTCGTCTTGTTGCTATCTGTCGTTTCGTTAACACGCGTTTTATTAACCAATTTTAATAAAGGTTTAACAGTCCAAGTTTGAGGTGTGGTATTCGAAAAAACCGACATATTAGTTCATTTGGATTGAATCAGTTAGAGTCGACGTACTGGCTCCATTTTCTGAACACCGATTCTGTTGGTAATCCCGGACCAAATTTGGAAGAGGGGTGTGTGGCAACTAGTATCAACAGCAACAGTCATTTCCAGTTTTATAATTTTTGATTCCGCTCCTTTTTTTCATAAACCGTATCCTAACATGTCTTCTTGCACATGACACTTAGTCCAATCTCTCGTCCCTCATTATGCGTTTTTTGCATTTGCGCAATGCAGAAAACGCATATTGACGAGGGGTTGTCTGCGTGTGTGTCTGTGCGTTCGTCTGCACCGATTTTTCATCTCGAGGCTTACAAAAGCTACAGGGCTTGAGCACTTGATCTACATGCATGTACGGACCCCCAGCCCAAAATGGGTGCTCTTACCCTCGTGATACCTAAGTACGACCCCGCAAGAGTTTTTAATGAGAAAGCTGCTAACTCAGGAACCAGAAAAGCTAGAAAGCTGGGATTTTAAGGAAATATTCCCTGTCCGCGTAGGTCTTAATGAGTTCTGACCCAGTCCCCAGGTATGCTAGGTTCCCACGTACGGGCCTGACAAAGTTTTTTACGAGTAAGTTGCTAACTTAGGAACAAGGAAAGCTGGAAAGCTAAAATTTTAAGGAATTGTTTCCTGACAGTCCCGGCGGCCAGTCTCTTCATTTAGCTAGAAGCATTTGCTGGAAACTGGTGCCGTTAACAAGAAAAACCTGCGGGGACTATACAAAAAACGCTTCTTCGCACCGGCAGCCCGTGTGCTTGCCAATTATTTCACCATTCAATGTTTAGATGCACATGCACCTTACTGGTTTTGGCAGCAGGCCTTTCTCTGGTTGCCAGTTCGCCTCATAGGCTGCTTAAACGTCGCAAAGGATAATGTAGTCCACGTTTCCCCTGTTTCTTATAGTCTATGCTTAATGCATTTCGTGTTTTGTAATGCATACTATTTTTCAATCTCAATCACAGCTGCATGACCTTTGCTGCCATTAGCACCTGCTAGTTATACTGGCAGTGATGTTTCGTACTGTCGAGGCCCGAGTGGACAATGCTTTGGCGTACGTTTCGGTGGTCACGGTTCGCATCGTGCTGTAGCTCAGCACTGTATGGCCTGGTGGTGCTACTTCCATGCCGCCTCGAGGTGCTTGAGCTGTAATCTTCAGCCAGCACATCTACCACGCATGGCAAAACCAAAATGTTTATATGTGTCTGAATTACACACATATATTTAAAAATATGTGATGACTCATTAGTTTCTACCGTCTATTGTCAGGTGCGTGCGCTGGTTTTTGGAGAAACATAGATAAATCGGCAGCATTTGTGTATATGTGTTAGTTCGACCGGTTTTGCAAAATGCAAATGATTTTTTCGGCAGTTTTTTCCTTCTCGCCCTGCTCGGTCTCGAATTTCATTTGCAGTGTCGGATGTTGCAATGGCCTCGACGCCGATCACTGTGCTTTCAAATTCACTGGTCTGTTGCTAAGTGCTGTTTGATGTGGAATTCGAGCATATATGCGATTGAATTTAACATTTGATTGAATTTAATAACTTTTTAATGCATTTTTACACATCCCACTTATGCAAAAATGCCTTTTAGTGGATGTATGTTTGCCTGTTTGATAATTCTGTTCAATAATTGCGAAAACTGGGAGGTTTAAATTTTAAAACATAATCTTCATGTATGGAGCCACAAAACTGAAATTAATTTCAGATCTCACTGTAGTTAATTGTGATGATGGCTTTAAAAATTTCTGCTGCTTCGCCCAGATTTCGTCTTACTTCTTGTTCATGCTGTTTCACAAAAAATCACATATATTGGTGGAGTAATGGCTGTGGCCGCTTGCTTGTAAACGTATCAACTGAATTGTGACCAGCTGAATCAGCATGTTTTATTGAGGACAACTGTAATGGCGGAGAAGGTCGGTAACGGAGTGAGGTGCGTGCGGGGCGAAGACGTGAAGGAGGAAGGAGAGGAGAGTGGGGGAGCGAGGAAGAGGTTAACACATTATTTTACATCCCAGTCAAGGAGTGCAGCTCGCAAGCAATTATCAGGTCCTCCTCCCACCTCATTTCACCCTCACTCCACCCACGAAATCGTCATTTTCCGGTAAAAATTCGTTGAGTCACAGGAACGAATATTTCTAGAAAAGGCCGAAAGTTTCAAAAAATTCCTTTGCATTCGAGGCACCCTCCGGCAAAACGGTGTCTTCCTGCTTTTTCCCAATACATTCATACGCTGGAAGCTTGCTCACATGTACGCATGTGGCCGTGTGTGTGTGTGCTTATGAATGCAAACATTGTGAGTTCTGGGATGCTGCTGAGTGCGTTCGCCTT